CCAGCTGAACACATCAACACCAGCTGAACACATCAACACCAGCTGAACACATCAACACCAGCTGAACACACAAACATCAACTGAACATACAAACGTCAGCTGAACACACAAACATCAGCTGAACACACAAACATCAGCTGAACATACAAACATCAGCTGAACACACAAACGTCAGCTGAACACACAAACATCAGCTGAACATACAAACATCAGTTGAACACATCAACATCAGCTGAACACATCAACACCAGCTGAACATACAAACATCAGCTGAACACACAAACGTCAGCTGAACACACAAACATCAGCTGAACATACAAACGTCAGCTGAACACACAAACATCAGCTGAACATACAAACGTCAGCTGAACACATCAACATCAGCTGAACACACAAACATCAGCTGAACACATCAACATCAGCTGAACACACAAACATCAGCTGAACATACAAACGTCAGCTGAACACATCAACAACAGCTGAACACACAAACAACAGCTGAACACATCAACATCAGCTGAACACACAAACATCGGCTGAACATACAAACGTCAGCTGAACACACAAACATCAGCTGAACATACAAACGTCAGCTGAACATACAAACATCAGCTGAACATACAAACGTCAGCTGAACATACAAACATCAGCTGAACACATCAACATCAGCTGAACACACAACATCAGCTGAACACATCAACATCAGCTGAACACACAAACATCAGCTGAACTTTAAATCACAGAGCTCTTACTGTCAGCAGCCCTCAACTTTTCGTTCATTAGTGCTTAAACAAACTTTTAATGGGCTACAGACTGTGAGCAGTTTGGTATATCTTGCAACAACTTTAGAGAGCAGATCTTTGAGACTTAAAAATAAAACTGCTGCTAATTATATTTTTTTCCCTCAAATTTCTCAGCTTCTGGATCTAAACTTGGGCAGCATAAAGAAACTGAACAGAGTTGAGTTGAGTGGTTCTAACAAACAAAGATCTATTTTTTTCCACCAAACTAAAACCCTTAAACTGATTCTGTGGGGAAAATATTGCAAATAAACAAACACCATACATTTCATAGTCTGTGTGTATTTTAGAGAGGAGCTCTGGTAACTCAACCACAAGCTTTAACCATAAATCAGCTGTAAAACACAGCAGAACTTGAATTTGTCCAGAAACAACCGTCCTATGTGTCTGAGCAGATAGATTCACCCAGCCCTGCTGGGAAGGATACATCATTACGTGTAAATTAGGGATGCACGCTATATCGGCATTAATATCGGTATCAGCCGATTTTGGTCATCTTTTAGAATATCGGTATCGGTCCGATATGTAAAACTGGGCCGATATCAATATCCAGTATTGACTTCCCACTTTTTATCTTTGTGTTTCTGTTTTGGGAGGGGAGATGGTTGGTTGAGTGGTATTTGTGTGATCATGATAGTGTTAGTGACACTGCACAGCCAGGAATAACTGAAGCAGGGAGCCATGTCAGAGRTCTGGTCATTTATTTGCTGTAACAAAAAAAGACCCAAGTGTGTTTGTGCGTATATGTATAATATAATTTGTGTGTTTGTGTAATATCGGTAAATATCTGTTATCGGCCATAATAGCAATAATTATATCGGATATCCATATCAGCTGAAATTTTCATATCGGTGCATCCCTAGAGTGCAAATAAACATTTTAATTGTTCTTAAACCAAAGTTCAGTTGAAAATCTGGCTTCCAGAAACAAGTGTGTTTGCAGCTAATTACAATAACAAACGTGTCAAAAATTAAATTATATTAGCAGGAATCTGACACAAGATATTTTACTCTTTATTAACAGCTTTACTAATAAATGTTTCAACTGGAAAAACCAAATTCACTTCATTATTTCCTTTTTATAATATGGTATTTATCAGTAATGCTGTCAACGTCACAAAAAAACTCCTGAACTAACTGAACTCCTGATAATTTTAAATAAAAGTTTTTCTCCTGTAGTTTTAAACAAATGATCAGGAGCTTTCAGGTCCTGTTAAAGCAAATCTGCTTTATAATAACTCTGAATCTTTGTTTTTTGTTAATCAAGCCCACAAATATTTTAAACAATCAACCAGAGGAGGTCAAACAAAGTAAAAATGTTTTTTTTTAATTCACACTTTCACAAAGTCTGAATTGTAATATTTATAWACTCCTTTTCTTTAAAACAGATGAACGCTCAAAGAGAGGTTTTTACATTTCGTCTGGTTGTTTTGTTGGTGAGCTTACCTGACGGGTCAGAGCTTCTCACAGTCAACTCGTAGGTCAGGTCTGGTAAAAACAAAGATGGAGGTTACTCAGATGATTGATGAGGTTGAAACACAGCAACTGTCGAGGCACATTTAGCGTTCTCCGTATTGTAAATGATTTAATTCTCTGTCCTGCAGAGAGGTAGCCATCACGGCTGAGCTCACCTGTGCACTGCTGCTGTAATCTGCGGATCTCTGCGTGCAGCCCCTTCAGTGTGCTGGCATGGTCCTGCTGCAGGAAGAGCAGGTTCTTTTGAGCGCTGTGCAGCTGATTCTCCAGCGTTACATTTGCGGTTGCCATGGCAGTTAATGTCTGGACCAGCGCCAACCTCGCAACTTCGACAAAGAGATGAAAGAAAAGACAAGGAGTAAATAATAAACCTGTAGGARAGTTATGATTGACCTATTGCCACCGTGGGGCATCATTAATTTATATAGTTGTACTGATGATGAAGAACAATTAATACTTTAACAAGTTAACCAAAGGCAGAGATAGGTCTAGATTGACAATTATCGGCTCACAATGTGAATGCATATGTGTGTATATGTAGCTACAGCAATACCCAATAACAACTGTCTCTATCAGCAAAACCATGTACTCCAATGAGCTGTAAAAAGCAGCACAGGAACAGATTAATTATTCCAAATGTAACAGCCAGTGAGATTATGTCAAACAACCACAGCCTGAATGGCAACACTAATGTAACACACATTAATCCAGGATCAAATCTGGATTTTAAAAAGAAAATGCAGAAAAGCTGATATGGAAATCTGGGGGAAAGTTATAAAGAATTAATATTTTGTTGAGCTAGATCTTTGAATTACCTCAATTGGGAGAAATGAAGTTAAAATTGAAAATGAATTGATGAACTTGCAGTTAGTTTGAACGCAGTCAAGACCAAAATGGATGGCTGTTGACTTAAAGGAGACATTTACAAAATCCACTTTTTTAGCTGTTAAGCTATTTTGTTGTCTCTAGGAGTGCAGAAACAATGAATTTAGTCTCTCTTGATGCTACAAAAATATCTTTATATTCCGTTTGGGTCATATTTATCAACCTGTTAAGTTACCTCCATTTTATATATTTTCTGAACAATTACGTCAAATTATTTGCGACTGAACTATGAAATAAGGTCTGAACTTTCCAAATACAATTGTGTCGTCTTCATTCTCCTCTGGCTCTGGGTCAGACTCTGACTCCAACATGTAAGGCTGGATGGACAAGTCTTCTGTTGTTGACATCTTTTAAATAACTTGTAAATTAAACGTTTCTGCGCAGCTATATAGCCGTAACCCACTCTAAACTAGAATGAATCGGTCTGGAAGCTGGAGCGGGGTGAAACGCATTGTTTGGATTTAAAGAGACAGCCTCAAAATGAGTTGATACGACTCAGAGAAGGGGTGAAAGAGGGCCTTGTGGAGTTACAATAAGAATGAATACTATATATAGACACCAACTGAATGACTTAAATGTGGAAAAAGATAGATTTAAAAGCAGGATATGTCTCCTTTAAAAAACTAAAATCCATTTTCCAAAGGTTAATGATTCATGGAAATGCCAGCTACACAAATAACCATATAATTACATTTAAATAACCGCATAATGCAAATTTGACAACAATGTAACGTTTTATAAAACAGCGTTAGCATGAACTATAAAAATGGAGACTTTAGATTAGCCGTTAGCTTGTGGCTCCTGCAAGCATTTAACTCTATTTTCTCCAAAGTGAGGTTGTTCAAAAAGCGACGTACAACTGTTACGATAGTAACTGTTCACAGCTTTTCAGCAGAACCCTGCATCAGAATGGCTGAACTATCCCTTTAATTTAATTAATGAATATATTTGTGAGCTATCTCAGCATAAAACTCTTTTGTTCTTTAGGTTGAAAGTCAATTCTGCTACTCCATGWCCTCATCACATCTTTACCAGAAGCAGGAAGAAAGACACCACAACATGTCGGGGGTGTTACTGGGCGTGGCAGGTCAGACACACACAACAATCCCCTCCTGTCCGGCACTGCCACACCTCCCTCCTCCCGCTCTCTTCACTGGCTGTCCTTGTCTCCTTCACAGAGAAACTCACTCAGTCGACCAGTCTTCACTTCCTGTCAGACACTAATATCAGAATAAGTGACGACAGGACATTGATCCATGCGAAACACTCCTCTACAGTGCAGAAAACGTCTCTCTGCATAGATAAGTGTGCTTCAATAAAACATCCCAGAGCTTCTCCTTACATCACCAGCTCACTTACATGAATAATGCATCCCATGACACCAGGCAGGACACGCTMCTTGGTTTCAGCTCAAATWGAATTTYTTTCTGYTTTTT